TCCCCCTCCTCGCCGGTGGCCCCGTGCGTCGCGGATGGCCGGCCCAAGGGCCGCCACGCTCCGGGCTCTCCCACGCTCCGGGAGATGCGTCCTCCCTCCTCGGCTTATTTCGGATCTTGGATGTCATACAGGCTGGAAAATGTGACAGGAAGGAAGGGAGGCTTTTTTCCCTCCTGCTAAATATGGACTGACGTTAAAATCCAAATACTGTCTCGAAAGGAATCCCAGCCCATATTTGTTGGAGGAGGGAAAAACCGTGTTTGCTGGCTTTTTCGGGCTGCGAGGTTCCAGCTGGGAAGTTTCGCAAGGAGCGGTGGGGTCTTTGCCGAGAGCCGCAGGAATTTACTTTGCTTGTTCGCAGCGTATTACGCTAAAAAAAATTGGTCATCCCTCCTCCACCCCTCTGTGGCTGGGGGGAGCTTGCTGCGAGCACGCAGGATCCTTTGAAAATATTTAAGGTTTTTTTTTTTTTCCTCGCAAAAAGCCGGTGGCGGGGAAGGAGGTGCGCGGGGTGGTTGCAGCCGACGCAGGGAGCTGCGGGGTTTGCAGGGAGGATTTATGTCTCTCTCCGTCAAGAATCGGATGCAAACTCATGCCGTTATTCCCACGGAGAGGTTGGGAAGCCAGCTCGATGACGAGGAACAGGACCCCAGGGATGGTCACGGCGCTGCCAGCTCCCCCGGTGACTTCTGCTGTGGCCAAGGCGAAGGGCCGGGATGTTTTAGGGGGGCACAGACCACAGCTTCGCTGGGACCCGGGGAGGGCTGTGCGAGAGAGACTTGGTGTCTGTGCTGGGCAGAAGATGGGCGCTGCCGCGTTCCCCCTCCTCATCTTCCTCTCCATCCCTGTTGGAGGGCATTTTGGGGTGCGTCTGTGGGAAGCTCCAGGGCATTTGCCCGGTCTTTAGAAAAACAGTTTGTTAAAGCAGGGAGGGGAATGCTGAGAGGTGCTGAAAATAGAAGTTTCCCGCTTTCAGGGGCAGCTCTGTCCTGGCGTTGGTGCGGCTGTGGTGTTGTCGAGCTGATGGGGTACGTAGCTCTGCTTCGCTGAAATGTCACTCTCGAATAACCGATGCTTTGTGCGGATCCGTGATACTGGTCCCAGTCCAACGTCAACATCCTTGTGGAAGAGTGGTTCGAGCCCCGCCGCCGACCTACCGCTGCCCTCCTCCAACCCCTCGCGTTTGCGGGGAGACGGCGGGCCCCGATCCAGCGGGAAGGGCGCAGGTTGCGTGGCCTCTGCCTCTGCCTTAGCCAGCAGACCGAGCACCGAGCCGCGGCTGCGTGGTCGTGTTCTGCACCACGCCTCGCAATGCCCAGATGGGACGGAGTGCCCGTACGCTCCCGTAGTGTCGTGAGGCGTGCAGCAAACGCGCAAGCTACCGGCTGATGCCTTGTTCCTGGTGTTACACGAGGAGCAGGTCAGCCCTCACGGCCACTTTCTGGTCTCATTCACAAATCGCGTTTTCCTCTTGAAATCAAACAAATCCCCGGGCTCTCCTGTTGCGGTGGAAATCAGTTGAATGCAACCAGGTCCGTAAGTGTCTCCGAAGCCTGTGGACAGGAAGAAACACTCGAGCGAAGAGGTAGGAAATGTCCGCGTTCACGGCAGTGGGCTGATTCATCTCCCTGCTCTTAACTCCTTCCCTCCTGCTTGTGGTGAGATCCAGCTGTTTTGCTTCCAGGCTCAGAGGCCGAGGAGGATATCGCCAGCTTTCTTCTAGCTGGATCGCAGAATACCACTGAGTTTTGTACGTCGTGTTTCCACGGGTTGGGGTGGAAAAGGAACGGGGCTGTTGGGGGTGTGTGGTTATCCAAATCGGATAACCGGAACATCGGCAGTCACATTAGGAAGGATTAATATTTAATATGTGGGGTATGAACCATGGTGCTTAATCACTATCTGAAGGGCTTAGGGAGAGATTTACCGATAAGCAAACGATTCCCGGACTGTCCCGAATGATTTCTTCCATCTTCCTCAGGAGCAGCTGGTCCTAGATATCGCTGCAGGCTGGCCTGATCCTGTTCTTCCTGATGTCTCTAGCATTTTGAAGTGGGTGGGGTGGCTTTCCGCATGAGTGCTTTCTTCTCATTAAACTTACAAAAAAAATCCTGGAAACCCTTTTTCTCTGCTACAACTCATGCGGTTGTACTGCAAGCCGTAGCACCTGGCAGCACTTGAAACTTAGGTGTGCAGCCAAAGCTCAAGGGAAACGCGCCCTGGGCTCGGCGAACGCTGTCACTGTCACATACATCTGCCCAGCCACGAGTCCGGAGCTGGCTCCTTCGTGCTTTTCTCTGGTTAATGTCTTCAGAGACCTTGAATTTCATCCGTGTCTCCAGCGCGGCTCTGGAAACCCTTGTGACAGCGGTGCTGCTTCCCACGTCGGGTGTTTTTCAGCGTACGGTGTTTTGGGCCGCCTGTCCGGGTTGGGTGCCGCTGTGTGTGTGCAGGGAGGAGGTGATGGCAGGGGACACATCAGGGCACACAGATAATCCATCTCCACCAAGGCATGTCCTGCACGACTAGATCTAAACTGCCGTACGACTGCGGTCGGCGAGGCCGTGTGTGTCCTGCAGGTCGGGGCTGAGCTGGTTTGACTTTGGGAAGCGGAGGTGGGAGGTGGAGGTCTCAGTGCGACTCTGGTGGGACTGCCAGGGTTTGTCCATGTTTGAGGGTTGTGTCTTCGTCTTGGGAAACCTCGCTTTAGGCTGCGGGAGGGTGCGTGCCCACGTGCCCCAAGTTAAAACTCGTGTGACAAACCATCAGCCGTGGCCGTCAAACCTGCTTTTGCTGTGGGTACACACGTGGTACCGCCTTGTTTGTGGTGGCTGCAGTTTTGGTGGTGGAAGTCGAAATGAGTGAGTGTGGGTTGGGCTTTGGAGTGTTGGTCATGTACACAAGCCTAGTGGCTACCCTAGCAGGCATGGAGGTGAGAAATATTTTTTAAAACGGAGTGTGTACTTCTTTTTTCTCAAAACACAAGCGGGAGAACGCCGGGCAGCCTGGGCCAGGGCTCCGTCACCCTCAGAGGGAAGAAGTTCTTCCTCATCTTCAGCTGGAGCTTCCTCGGCTTCAGTTTGTGCCCGTTGCCCCTTGTCCTGTTGCTGGGCACCACTGAAAAGAGTCTGGCCCCATCCTCCTGACACCCACCCTGCAGATATTTAGAGGCATTTCGAAGGTCCCCTCTCAGCCTTCTCTTCTTCAGGCTGAACAAGCCCAGCTCCCTCAGCCTTTCCTCCTAGGAGAGATGCTCCAGTCCCCTCCTCA